CCCTGAGAGCCTTCCTTTCTAGAGGATCAGAGCCCCCATCCTGCATCTGGGTCTGGTAGCTACAGCACTGATCAGGAGTCAGCAAGGTGTGTTCTTAGCAAAAGGGCAACAGCTCTCTAATTCTGCCAAATTTGGTAACAAGAAGCTTCTACGAGCACTGAATCCTCAGGGATAATTACAGTTGGAACATGTTTTTAAATCTAAGATTCACATAGTCATAGGAAGAAAACCTAAGCTGCATGAACCTAAATGAAACGCAGTCAAAAAAGAAACTTTCAGAGGCTTACTAAGTCTCTTGGACCACCAGGGGGAAGGGCAACCGCATAGTGCCTCATTTTTCTCCCCAGTGCAGGAGAAACAGCCCAAATAAGGAAGTTCAAGGCTCCTCTCAGTCTTCTGCCTAACAAAGGTTTCAAGTTGTTCAGAATATAAAGATAAAATTTAAAGTCCCAAGTGCTGGCAGATGGTTCACAGAGAATGACAGATTTCTGCATATGCAAAGATCTCTTAATCCCTGAGGCTCCCACACAGAAGTGGCTGCTCCTGACTGTAAATTGCCAGACTAAGCACTCTCCTCAAATGACCCAAACCCTAATTCAGGATGCACAGCTCTAATCAGAAATCTGAAATGCTCTAAAATCTGAAAAACATTTTAAAGCTTTATTTTTTAATCTCTGTGTGTGTTGTACACACATGCATGTGCATGTTCATGTGTGAGGGTGGACATGTTTGTGTCATAGCCTGTGTGTGAAGGTCAGAGGACAACTTAGATGTCAGTCCTCTCCTTCCACCTTGTTTGAAGCAAGGTCTCTGTTGTCGTTTGCCACTGTGTATGTATGTCAGGCTAGCTGGTCTACAAGCTTCTGGGTATTCTCCCATCTCTGCCTCCCACTTCTCTGGAGAAGAGCTAAGATTACAGATACTACCACTATAAAGTACCTTTATATGGGTTTGGGGGACCTGAACTCAGGTCTTCAAACTTGTGGGGCAAGTGCTTTATTCACTGAGCATCTCCCAAACTCCAGAATATGAAACTTTCTGAGCATTAACTTACTTCTTACGTAAGTAAACCTTGATAAAAACTGCTCTCCACCTAAGTGGAAAATTCCACCTCAGACTTCATGTGGCAGGCCACAGTGAAAAAAATGCAGGTGGGCCTGGTGTGGAGGCGCACACCTTTAATCCCAACACTTGGGAGGCAGAGGCACATGGAGCTCTGTGAGTTCGAGGCCAGCCAGGTCTACATAGTGAGTTCGAGGCCAGCTGCAGGTGGTTTTCCAAAACTATTATATAAAATTACTTTTTTTTTGGGGTCTTTTTGAGACAGGGTCTCCCTGTAGCCCCAGCTGTCCTGGAACTCACTATGCAGACCAGGCTGGCCTTGAACCCACAGAGATCCTCCTGCCTCTGCCTCCCCAGTGGTGCTGGGATTAAAGGAGTGCGCCACCACGCTGGCTTATATAAAATTACTTTTCATCTATATGTTAAAGTGTATATGAAGCAATGAATTTTGAATTGAGACTTGAGTCTTATTCCCAAGATATTTCATTATGTTTACTGCAAATATTAAAAAAAAAAATTTAGAAAGGAAGAAATCCAAACACTCCTAACCCCAAGCATCTTGAATAAGGTACTCCACTGTAGCAACAGCATGGCCTCCAGCTCTGTGAGCCAGAGCAACTCATTTAACCTCCAGCACACCAGCTTTTCTCTCTCTGATATAACGGAACACCTACAGGATGCACTGAGGGGATGGGGTTAGCAAGCCATGGAGTTCAATAGGAACAGAGCAGTGCTGTGCAGGACAGAGGCCTATGGGGGTCACAGAGTTCACTGAACCATCAGACCAGAAGGCTTCTAGACTATTTCAAATAGACCGGCAGCAGGGCAGGGCAAGCTGAAGTCACACAGCAGGCCCACTTCATCACAGAGCCTTTAGGTCAGCAGGCAGCCACCGAAGGACCACAACCAACTTGGGCTGAGCCATAGCTGAAGTCAAACTTGCAGCTTCCAACTGAAGTCTAACAAGTGCAGGTGCCAGGACCACTTTCTGGGCCCAGGGAGAACACATATTCATGGGTACCACAGTAAGTTTACAAATCCTTGCACTCTCCACTCTCTGTGAAACCCTCATTCCTTGTGCTCTGGTATGCTCTGGATGCTGCTTCAAATCCTGCAAATGGCTCACTATTTTTGCAGCCAAACCTGAGGGTAGGATAAATACTGCTACAAAATGGCCCAGCTCCATAGGGACAGCAGTTTGTAGAAAGAAGAGAACACCTTGCTTGTCTTCTTGATGGGTGAATTTAGGGGTCAGCTGGACTGGACTGAAGAATACTGAGTGAACAGGTGAGGTTAAGTACATCTACATCTTAGGCCTGCTGTGTGAACTGGTAGACCCAGTGGAGAACATCTGCCCCAGTGCTGGTGGGCACCATCCAAGTGACTGAGCCCAGGACAGCCCAACCCCTACCCTCTCCCTCCTGTCCTGGGGCATCACAGTTCAGGCTCTCTGGCCCTTGGGTTGCAGGACTTATCCCAGCATCCCTGAGCTCTCAGGCCTTGGCCCTCACACTGATTTACACCATTGGCTTCCCTGGATCTATGGATGTTGCACCTGAACTACATCTATCTAATAATATCCTGGTGTCTTCAGCTTGGAGATGGCTTGCTGAGAGAATTCTCAACTTCTATAACCCTGTGATCCACTCTTGTAATAAAGCCTTTCTCATCTCTCTCTGTCTCTCTAGACACATGGTTTGGAGGAGGAACAAAGTCAAGGCTCTGAATCAGACCCCAGTCAACCACTGATCCTCTGGGATAAAAAGGAGAGAACAGCTGTCCCCTTTCAACATTAACAGTGACACTGACAAGGCCCATGGGTGTTGTCTCACAAGCAACCCTGGCGCTTCAACATACTCATGATGGAGCCAGGCTATCTTCCTCATCTCTCCTCTCCATCTGTCACTCAGCCATGAGCAGCACATGTTGCTGATTAAAGTTGGAGGAGACCTGGCATGTGATCTTTAACCCAAGGGACAGGGATGAGTTTCTTGCTGTTTTGTTTGTTCTTTCTCTCCTCTAAGCAGACTGTCTGTCTAAAGCATTAGAGTAATAGGGACACATAGAAAGGGACTTCTTGTAGCCTGAAGGCCAGGTCCCCCAGAAAGTCACCCTGAATGGAAGGAATTTTTCTAATTTAATTTTGGATACATTATGAAGAAAAGAAACAATTTTGGGAAGACAATGAAGGTTTTAGTGAAAAAATAACTACTCTATAACCCTTGAAAAAAATTTAACAAAAAAATTCTGAAGACCATAGGTACTTTGACTATTTCTTTTCATACCTTCCTAAATTTGACAAAAAACTGAGCATGTCTGTTTTGTTGTTTTTATTTTCTATTATCTTTATTTTTCCACACAGGAGCTTGCTATGTAATCCAGGTTTGCCTCAAACTATCTTCCTCCTGCCTTTGCCTCCTGCGTGGGGCCACAGGCATGGGTTGCCACACCCAGCTTGAGAGCAGGGTACTACTTCTTTTTTTTATTTTTTATTTTTATTTTATGTGTATGCATGTATTGCCTGCATGTAGGTAAGTGCACCCGTGTCGTGCAATGCCCTCAGAGGTCAGAAGAGGTTGTCGGATCCCCCGGGACTGGAGTTATGGACAGTTGTTAGCTGCCATGTGGGTGCTGGGATTCGAACCCAAATCTTCTGCAAGAAGTGTTCTTAAGTGCTGAGCCATCTCTCCAGCCCCAAGAGCACAGTACTTCTAAAACAGACTATGGAAAGTGTCTTATTCAAATTTTATTAATTATCAAAATCAAATGTTTTCCTGGTGATAAGGTGACCTGCTTACCATGCACAGCTAGCTCACTGATGCTCTGCCCCATGCAACAGGAGGAACCTGCCACAACACACACAATAGCAGCCACCCATTTGTTATCGCCAACCTCATCCTCACCTCCCTGGATCACCTCAGAACTAGCTGAGTCCATCACTGCTGAAGCCCTACATTGTGACTGCAAATGGACTTCACAGATGCTGCGGCTCCATAGGATACTTCTTTTTTTTTTTTTTTGAGACAGGGTCTCTCTGTAGCCCCAGCTGTCCTGGAACTCACTATGTAGACCAGGCTGACCTTGAACTCACAGAGATCCGCCTGCCTCTGACTCCCAGAGGCAGAGAGCTGGGATTAAAGGAGTGTGCCACCACAAACACCCAGCCCAACACAGGATACTTTTATACAGGGAAATGAGACCACACTTGTGGTTTTAGAAAGTGATCTATAAGCCAGGTGTGGTCACATATGCCTGTAATTCCAGCATGTAGGATGCTAGGCAGGAGAATCATGAATTGGAGGCCAGCCTCAGCTACTTAGCAAGCTCTAAGCCAGCATGGGCTACAGGCGTCCCCATCTGGGAGGGAAAGTGGAAGGAGGGAGGAAGGAAGGGAAACAGAAGTTGGGAGGGAGGAATCTGTGATGTGGTGTAGCAGGGAAAATGATGAAGTAACTATGAAACGATGACAGAGATTAATGCCAGACTGCAGAGAGAGAATAAGCAGAGATGAAAGCCACGGAACCTTGGGACAACTGCATATCAGCTACAACAAAGAGAATGGCTTCCAGGCTTTTGGCTTGGAGACTAGGCAGGAGGGTGAGAGAGGGAGCTACACATGTGGGAAAAGAAGAGCAGGAAGGGTGGGCATGGGGAATATGCTAAGTTTAATGCTTTCATGCAACATCTGGTTGGCTACAACCCCTACAGGGAAGCGTGGCCAAAGAGGCCTAACAGAGCAGAGGACACAGGCTACCAAATCCTATGGAAGGAATTAAATTTCCTCATCTTCTACTCTCTCTAAGTCCATACTAACTAGGACCAATAGTGAGGCCTCTTTGCTCATGGCATGGGGTGGCTGAGCAGCTCCTGGCTTGCCTTTTCTCTGCCTTTCTGCATCTCAGTCCCATGAAACACCGAGTTCAGCCTCCTCTACTCACCAGCTGGATCTCAACGGCGGTCATTGGCCTGTGATTCAGCAGCTGAAGCTTCTCAGCTCTGTCAAAAGAAAAGCACGAAACACTTAAAACTCTCATGCCCTGAAGGACCTTGGGTATTGACCAAGATACTAAAAAAAATACTGTCAGAAAAAAATTAGAAAATTGCTGCAACGTGGCCCTTGGTTCAATTACAGACTAAAAGAATCATCAGAACAGGAGAACAGGAGAGTGCATACCCTACTCCTGCCCAGTGGCCCACATGTGCCAGAATCCTACAGGGTACAGAGATATAATGCTTGGTTAAGAAAGGGGGCAAATAAAATCTTTTTTTTTTTTTTTTTTTTTTTTTTTTTTTTTTTTTTTTTTTTTAAAAAAAAAGAGACAGGGTCTCCCTACAGCCCCAGCTGGCCTGGAATTCACTATGTAGACCAGGCTGATCTCTCTGCCTGCCTCTGCCTCTTGAGCACTGGGATCAAAGGCATGCACCACCATGCCAAGCTCAAATAAAATCTTTTAAAGAGGGGTGGGGGTAAGCTAGAGAGATGACTCAGTAGTTAAGAGCATTGGCTGCTCTTCCAGAGGATCCAGGTTTAGTTCCCAGCACTCACATGGCAGCTAACAACTGGTAACTCCAGTTCTAGGGAATCTGATGCCCTGTTCTGGCCTCCACAGGCACTAGACACACAGAGTGCATTTATATACAAGTAGGCAAAACACTTATACACATAAAATAAACAAAATCAAGGCCAGGTATGATGGTGCATGCTTATTCGAAGCACTTGGAAGGCAGAGGCAGGCAGATCTCTGTGAGTTCAAGGCCAGTCTGATCTGTATAGGAAGCTCCAGGCCACCCAGGGTTATACAAAGAATCTATCTATCTATCTATCTATCTATCTATCTATCTATCTATCTATCTATAAATAAATAAATAAATAAATAAATAAATAAATAAATAAAGCCAGGTGTGGTAGCACATGCCTTTTACTTCCAGCAAGTAAAGGCTGGCAGATCTCTCTGAGATTGAGGCCAGCCTGGTCTACATAGTGAGTTAAAGGTCAGCTGGGGCTACAGGGAGACCCTGTCTCAAAAGAAAAATAAAAAAAGAAAAGAAATACACACACTCAAAAAAAATTTTTTTTGGTCTTTTTGAGACAGGGTCCCTATCTCAAAATTCCACCTGGCCTGGAATTCACTATGTAGACCAGGCTGGCCTTGAACTCAAAGAGATCCACCTGCCTCTGCCTCCCAAGTGCTGGGATTAAAGGCATGGACCACCATGCCTAGCAGTAATTTTTTAAAATGAGGTCAAACCTCAGGGGTAATATGTGTAAAAGAAAAGGAGTTAGTTACAGCAGACCTAGCTGAGTCAGCATGTGAGGGCACTACCCCTATACAGCTGTGTATCTCATACACATATTCCAGGTCGAGAGCTAGGGCTATAAGCTAGGCACTGAGAAATAAAGGCCTCAAGTCAACTGAAAATGATTAAAGAACCAAACTCCTTTGGAGAGGGATGGGGTAACACATTAAACAAAAAATTCTATGGCACCCAGTGTCAAAGTGACTTGGAATTGAGTTCTAACCACCTATTTTGTTGAATAAGGCAACAAAGTCAAACAAAACATTGCTCCTGTCCTACCTTCCAAGACTCTGGTGGTAGAGATATCTAAGCAAATAGGCTACTATCTGGGAACTTTTCTCCCTGAGCAAATGGTAGATAAAAGCTACACTGAGTAAATATAAGGATTAGGATTAGGGCTGGAGATAATAGTGCTTGCCCTGGGTTCAATCCCAGAAACTACTAACACACACACACACACACACACACACACACACACAAAGTGATTTACAAATGAAATGCGATTTCAAAGGTATTTTACCAGCTCCCCTTCTAAATATGATTACTGCCTTAAAAACACACTGGCCAGCATAGGCTAGTCCCTGTTTATTTGGCAAGCAGCCCTCGGATCACCCAGTCAAGGAGCAGGAGTCAGCCACTGTGAGAAGCTTGCTGGCTCCCTCTGCTGGCACTGTACAACTCTGCCTATAGCTTTTGTTCTAGCAAGCACAGAACCATCTTAAAGAGGTGTAGTGATTAAAAACCAGGCGTGGTGACATATGCCTTTATTCCCAGCACTCAGGAGGCAGAGGCAGGTGGAGCCCTATGAGTTCAAGGCCAGCCTGGTCTACGTATCAAGTTTCAGTTCAGCTGGGGCTACAGGGAGACCCTGTCTCAAAAAGACCAGTAATATGATGATGATGATGTTATAAATCCTTAGTTTGGAGACCACAAATTGGAAAAGGGAGTGAATTAATTCTCTGAATAGTACATCTTTAAGCTTGTGCAAATTATGACCAATTTTGAATCAATCTGCAAAGTGACTCTTTGTAGTTTTCTTTTCCCAGCCTCCCTTTCTCCTTCCCTTCTTCTCTTCCCCCCACACTGCCCCCCCCCCCCGAACTCCTACTCCATCTCTTTCTTTGGGGAATGCTGGGGATGGAAGGCAAGTACTCCATAGTGGAAAAGAAAAAGGAACAGGGAAGTAAACACCATACACCCACCAACTAAACAGAAGTCATACACATATACACGTACTTTAGATGCCTGTTGTCAGCATTCATTTGGAGAACAGCAGCAAGGGGAGAGGCGTACTTAGTTTACCATGTGACTGAAGAAAAGCTTCTGGAGGGCTGGCTCAATGGTATAGTACCCGCCCTGCACATGTGAGGCCCTGGGTCTGATCCCCAGCACCACACCCGCCCAACATGTGTAAACGTGTAAAGACCTGGGCCTGATTCCCAGTACTGACCCCCCCCCTCAAAAAACCCCAAAACAACCTAAAACCAACCAACAAATGATAATAATAATAAAGCAGTTTTTGGAAGTTATTGGTACTGGCACTAATCCTAAAAGCCACAGGACAGTTTTCTTCTCATGTAAACTCTTAACCTATGTTTTAAATTCCTCCAGACTTACTGTCAGAGGGCAAGAAAAGTTGCTGGCAGGTGCCTCAGGTAGACTATATATAATCCAGTCATTTCTATCTCATGTAAACACAAAAGTCAAATGACTGATGATCAACTGTATAAAAAGTAGTCTTTTTTGTCCCCATGCTGAGGATGGTACCCCTTCAAACATGCTAGGCAAGCACTCTACCCCTGAGCTATGCCCACAGCCCTATACTGTAATTTCTGAATAACACTTTTTTTTTGAGACAAGGTCTCCCTGTAGCCCCAGCTAGCCTGGAACTCACTATTAGACCAGGCTGGTCTTGATCTCACAGAGAGTCACCTGCCTCTGCCTCCTGAGTGCTGGGATCAAAGGCGTGCACCACCATGCCTGGCAAACTCTACTTTTGAATGACAGGAGGAGTTGAAGGGGACTCTAAGGAAAGATTGGGATGAGCATGCTCCTGGCTCTAGAGTGCCATGTGTCAGTTTCTTAGTCGTCTTTTCTATAATACCATGATCATGCCTTAAAACAGTATTGTGCTTACTATGAGGCCAAAGCTTGACTGAATGCAGATGGCCACTCTAAGCCATCATTCTCTGTGTGGTGTGTTATCTGCTACCTGCTAAGGATAACTATTACTTACTTGGTCAGCTTGTGGTTTTTCATTGCTGTGAGGAATTCTCGGACAATCTCAGGACTTTGGTTCCTGCATGGTGTTTTCGATATGTATTTTAGTGTCTACCAAAAAATAAATAAATAATAAATAAATAAATAAATAAATAAATAAATAAATAAATAAATGGAAGGCAAGCATTAAGACACAGAAATTTGAGTAAGAAAAAGGAAAGCAAACTGAGCCTGGTGTGCACTCCTTTAATCCCAGCACTTGGGAAGAATCCTCTAGAGAGGCAAACATCAGAACTGAAAGGAAATAGCATATAATGGCACATAAACTCAAACATGACATAACTTCAGGACAAAGCAGAAGGGGGAGAGCCAACTTGTGAGCTACTTCCACTTTCTTCTGTATACTTTTGGCATTTTCTGTCTTACCAATAAAAATCACTGCTTTTTGCAGAGAAAAGAATTTGGCCTTGCACAAAGAGCAGCCCTAGCCTTTGTCCTAGAATTGTGGATGGTGATCTCTAGAACCCTGGAAGGCTGTGCCTAGGTCCCTTGGTCATCCTAGATAGGCTTATCAACCAGACTTAGTGGCTGGCCTCACCTGTATAGTTTTAGACTTAGCCGGGTTTCCCTCCTGGCAACACTCCATGCCTACTGCTACACTCCAACTTCAGGAGAGTAACAGGCCCTGACCCCATGTACGAGGACAGTGGAAAATCTGCCTTGGGTATTTCTCTTGGACTCTGCCCCTATTTTTCATTCTCTTGACCAATTTTAATCTGACTCCTTTCTTTTCTTTGTAGCAAACTGTCACTGTGAACAGCTTCAGTCCTGAGAAAGATGAGAGGGACCCACTTCTCCCTGGGCACTGAGCATGTTTTAAGCATTGTTAAAACACTGTTAAGATCTGTCAAAGTCATTGTTCATGTTAAACTATTTCTGTTCTCATTATAAGCACTCCTTCTAGTGACTATTTTTCTATAAACAAGCAGAGACATTGTGGAGTGGGGAAATTTCACCCCGTAACTGGCAGCTGTTGTACTGTCCCTTGTTTCTCTAGCTGCCTTGAGTCAAAGGGCTACTGGACTACCTATACCTAGGCACCTTGGAGAAAAGAACAATCACAGCTGCTTGCTCCTGAAGGCCCAGCCAAGACTGTTTCAAACAGTCTGCACTAAACTTTTTGCTGTCACAAGTCTCACTGAACTCTAGATGAGCCTACAAACATTTCTACCCAGGCCAGAGGGAGAACACTTTAGCTGGTGGCCTAGCAGAGGGTCTGCTGTGGTTGGTGCAAAAGAGACAAGGCTATGATTGGTGTGAACACAAACCTTCATCTGCACATGAGGTCTGCTCTGCTCTGGTTATATAGGAATACCGTTAGCTCACTCAGTGAGATACCTAGAACATGCCCCCTCCACCCCCATGTTAGCTTCCCTGGTTTTGCAATATTAGGCCAAATAAAAGGACTCTCTCAGAGCTATAGAGATGGCTGGGTTAAGAGCACATACCACTTTTGTGGGGGATCCAAATTCAGCTCCCAGCATCCTTGTCGGGCAGCTCCCAACTCACCTAAAACTCTAGTTCCAGGGGCTCCCATGTCTCTGGCCTCCTAAGTACCTGCCCTTACAGACACATGCCCATATGACACATACATACACATAATTAAAAATAAAATTTTAAAAAATGCTTCTCTCAAGCTAGGCATGGTAGTGCATGCCTTTAGTCCCAGCACTTGGGAGGCAGAAGCAGGCGGATCTCTGTGAGTTCAAGACCAGCCTAGTCTAAATAGTGAGTTCCAGGACAGCTGGGGCTACAGGGAGACCCTGTCTCAAAAAGACAAAAAAAAAAAAAAAAAAAAAGCTTTCCTCAAATGGATTGTTCTCTTGCCCATCTTTAGTACACCACGCTAAGCTGGTGACATGAAGGAACAGTAAAGACAGAGACATGGCAACACTCGTGTGGCAGCAGAGCAGCAGCAGAGTAACCAGTTACTTGGCAGCTGAAGAGGTAGAGCTGGGCTCTGCAATTGTGGCAAAGTGCAGGCCACTCTGAAAACAGAGGAAAAATGCAGAGCTGTGAGCTTGGCAATATCCAGAGCAACAGAGGAGCAGCAGCCGCTTCCCAAAGCAGCCCAGCAACAAGAGGCGGCTGCACAGAGTAGCCAGGACAGGAACAAGAGGGATGGTGGGAGGAGAAAGAGCAGTGAGGGATGAAGCTGAAGGATACAAGGCTTCAAAGAACCGGAAAAGGAAGGCCAGGTATGCTGTTGACACCCTCAATCCCAGCACTCAGAAGGTAGAGGCAAGAACCAAAGAAGGTCAGATGTGGTAGTATACATCTTTAATTTCAACACTCAGAAGGCAGAGGTAGGCAGATTTCTATGAGTTTGAGGTCATCCCAGTCTATATAATGAGTTCTAGGCCAACCAAAGATATATAGTGAGACTCTGACTTTAAAAACAAAAGGTGGGGGGGGGGGCATATAAATAGGATCAAGATGAAGTGTATGAAATGCACAAAAATTTAATTAAAAAAATTCAAAAGAGCCAGAGAAGTAGCCAGAGGTATGGTGGTGCATTGTCTGTAAATCCAGCACTTGGGAGGTAGAGGCAGGAGAATCAACAGTTCAAAGTCATTCTCAACTATATAGGGAGTCTGAGGTCAGCCTGGGCTACATGAGACCCTGTCTGAAAACAAACAGAAGAGAAACTTCAGACCCTGGTTGCTAGCGGAGTTCCAGAAAGCTGTCGAGTGTTCGGGGCCAAAGGAATCAGGGACCCCAGGCCTGGGAACTGTAATACTAGCCATGGTTAGGGACTGAGGAATCCTGGTTCTCCAGGCCTTCCCAAGAGCTGAGATCCCACTTTATAACACTAGAGGGCGCCACCTGCATGCTGCTGTAAAGACTAAGGAACAAAGGCTGTGAGAGATCAGGCCTGGAAGAGCCTCTCCCTTTCCACACACCATTTCCAACCAGGCAGAGCAAAGGGACTCCTAGCAAGCTGACTGGGAGCACCTGAGGGTGACTCAAGGTGAGGCCTCTCTGTTTACCTGTTTATAAGGGAGGACAACTTTACACTGCTCCTTCTCACTAGCTGACAGTTGGCCAAACTCCCACTTTTTTTTGTTTTTAAACATGGGTCTCATTATGTAGCCCTGGCTGGCCTGGAACTTGCTATAAGACCAGGCCTCAAACTCAAGAGATACTCCTGCTTCTGCCTCCACAGCGAGTGCTGGGATTAAAGACCACCACACGCAGCTCCTCCCACTTTTGTGGATAGTAAACCAGCCTCCCTGGCTAGCAGTACCCCACTTACCTCAAAGGTAATGGTGTTCAGGTTCTGCTGCCCAGCACTGTGTTTATTCTTTCCACTTTCCTTACGCTGTTCTTTGAGATCAGTGAGTAGCTGGTACACCTAGGAAGAGACCCATGAAAGACTGCTGTAACTCTGGAAAACGTATCTCTTCCAAGATCAGTGGTTTCGAAGGATAGTGGGGTACTGCCTCCTTTCTACCCACAAATCTGCTTCCCGACTCTTGGTTTAGAACCCTGTGACATTTGTTAGATGCTATTTTTATCTGAGTCAATACAAATTAATTAGTGTAATTAAAGAACTGTGAAAAACATGTATCACAGGCCAGTGAGATGGCCCAGTGGATAAAGACACTTGCTGCCAACCTAAATTCAATGCCTGGGATCAACATGGTAGGAGAGAACCAACTCCCACAAGTTGTCCTCTGACCTCCATGAGCATTCACACACACATACACAAAATAAAATGACCTCAAAAACATAGTAAGTATTCGAAAGCACAATTTCCTAAAACAATAGTTTTCCTAAAGGGTTCTGTTTAATATATAAGCCTAGAGTAACAATTTCTTTTTAGGGGGGGTGTTTTTGAGACAGGTGGTTTAGAACCCCCACAACGCCCAGCTGACAATTTCTTTCCATAAAAGAAAAACTATGGGACAAATGATAAAATATAGTACACAAAAAATGAAGGAAGGGCTGGGGGTACCTCGGTGGTAGAGCACCTGCCTATCATGAGTGAGTCCCTGGGTTCTGTCCAAGCACCACAAGATAAAGAAATAAAAATAAAGGGAAAAAATACTACAGATTAGTAGACATAAAGGTTCCCCACAAGGAAAAACACATGCATTAATGCTGGGATGGGAGTGGGTGGGACCTTGTTCCTGTTTCTGAGATTTTATCAGAGATCTGAGGAAAATACAGGCTCATAGAACATTACTAGACAAAACAACACCCCCACCTTGTCACATCCATCCCCGGTCCCCACACCCTGCTTTGAAGATCAGTGGCACGAAACTCACTGAACACAATGCTTCTTCTCCTGTGGCCTAAATACCAAGTCCAAGCAAAGCTGGGACAAAGTCCAAGCCAGACAAGGAGGATCCTAAAAGCTAATGAAACATTTCCTTCCTGTGCTAAGCCACAACCATGTAGGCTGAATCTTTAGGAGGCAATATGGCAGATGGCATTTATTCTATACAAAGACACATACACATACAGGATGCACAATTCACACAATGAAGATCCAGAACTCCTCCAACACTTGAGTTTTCTCTGTGACATGGAAACTGACAATGAATATATAAATGGGCCCTTCTATACCTGGAGATGTTCTATTCGACAGCTCTGCTAGTACCAAAACAGACCCAGGCAAAGCAGGAGTTAGGTAAACACACTAGCACTTCCTCTCTCATCAACCTCTTTCCTGCCCTTCTCTCTCCATCAGTCCTATTCTCAAGCTCCCAAATTACAAACTTATTCATTCTTACTAAATTATTCAAAATAGTGAGTCAAGTAAACTCTTAGTCTCAAAATGAGGATATCAATACCTTTGAGGCTATCTGAAGATCAAAGTGATTACACAGGAAAGCATCTTGTACATAAATGATAGTGATTAGGAAGAGGCTAAGTACTTTAACAAGAAACTTTTACAGACAAAAACGGTTCTAAGGAGAAACTTCCATTCCAAGAGGACATTCCCTGTGATGATCTAGCCTCTCTGGGATTTAAGGAAGTATGCCTATTATAAATCAAAGCCTCCTTTGTTTCCCTGAAGTACTGTGTAATATACCAAGGTTGAACTACTCCAAGGGCCATCTGCCCTGTGTTAAAGTGGAAAATCCAAATAAGTTCTGTCTTTTTAAAAATTTTATTTATTAATTTTTATTTTATGTGTATGAATGTATTGCTTGCATATATGTAAGTGCACCGGTGTTCTGTAATGCCCACAGAGGTCAGAAGAGAGTATTGGATCCCCTGGAACTGGAGTTACAGGCGGTTGTGAGCCACCATGTGGGTGCTGGGAATCAAACTCAGGTCCTCTACAAGAGCAGCCAGTGCTCTTAATTGCTGATCCATCTCTCCAACCCCACCATCTTTTCTTTTCTTTTTCTCTTTTTGAGACAGGGTCTCCCTGTAGCCCCAGGTGACCTGGAACTCACTATGTAGACCTAGCTGGCCTTGAATTTCCAGAGATCTGCCTGCCTCTGCCTCCCAAGTGCTAGGGTTAAAGGCATGCACCATCACACCTGGCTTAATTTATTTATTTTTATTTTATGTGTATGAGTGTTTTGCGTTTGTGCATGTATGTGCACCATGTGTGTGCAATGCCCGTGGAAACCAGAAAAGCGTGTTGGATTCCCTGGAACTGGAGTTCCAAGCAGTTGTTAGCCACCATGTATGTGCTGGGAACTGAACCTGGGTCCTCTATAACAATAGCAAGTGCTCTTAACTCCTGAGCCATCTCTCCAGCCCCTGAGTTTTTCCATCTTTTCTAATCCAAACTAATCCACAATCTTCACAAGCAAAGGACTAAATAAAAGAGGAAAATATAGAATCCTACTGGGGAGGTACTTACCTCATAGTTACTGAGCAGTGCAGAGTTCGCATCTTTCCTGGAAAAGAAAAATGAGTTGTCATCAGTCAGGGTTCACATCCTTTCCTGGGTATGAAATGTCTACAGGATAATTCCTTTATTCAAGATCCAGCTATCTAGTTAAGAAACGTGGGAACAACAGCCTAAAACTAGACATGCCCTAAGTCCTTCCTGGTTTAGCTGGCCCTACATAGGCAATTTCAGAGTCAACTGTAAGACGAGAGAGAGAGAGAGAGAGAGAGAGAGAGAGAGAGAGAGAGAGAGTTGATTGTACGTACACAGGTGTATGTCCTGATACTCAGGGTTGTAAGAGCACAGAGGCCAGAAGAGGGCATCAAACCCTTCTTGGGTTAGAACTGCAGGTATTTGAAGAAGGCCTGGCTTGTTTTGTGGGTGCTAAGATCAGAACTTAGGTTCTCATAATTATGCAGCAAACATTTTTTTAATCTTTTTGAGACAGGTCTCTCTGTAGCCCCAGCTGCCCTGGAACTCGCTGTGTAGACCAGGCTGGCCTTGAACTCACAGAGATCCGCCTGCCTCTGCCTCCCAAGTGCACAGTGAACATTCTTAACCACTGAGCAATCTCTCCAGCCCCTAGACTTTCATTTTTATAGACATTGAATGACTAAGATAATATATCATCCCAGACCTATGTAGACAGAAGCTGAGAAGTCAGACATCTGGCATAAATAAGTTACAAGAGGAACTTGGGAGTAAAATCACAAAGGAACCCCTCCACAGAAGGTTCCATAAGCAGTGAGAGGCCAAAATGACTAGAGAAACAAGGTGCTGGTCCATCCTCAGCACACATCCTCACCATAACCACCCACCACCAGCTACTAGTATCTTGGGCAGCCCAGACCTAGTGCTGAATCTACTAAAAAGCCTATGTACTTAAACACTGACATTACCACTAGGAGCTCCAGCAAGTGTCAAGAGTCCTGTCAAAGAGCCACAAAGATTTCACAGAGTTGGTATATTAAGTAGTCAGCATGGTACTCCTGTATAACAGCTGATTAAGCAAACTGTCATCACTCCTGTGTGAGCACAACTATGACACAGATGACAACTGGTCCCTTCCACACCATCCCATCAGAGTATGCACAGCTACAGTACATGTGATAACTGTTCCATTCCACACCATCCCATCAGAAGATGCACAGCTACGGTATGTGTGATAACTGTTCCATTCCACACTATCCCATCAGAGGATTCACAGCTATAACACAGATGACAAATGATCCACGCCACACCATCTCATCAGAGGATACATTGCTTTTACCAGCCTAGAGCCAGTATACTATGACAATTAAGGGTTCTGTTTTGAAAACAGACAGATTTGGGTTTATAGTCTCACTCTGTCATGTGTGAAATTCATGCTTTATTTGGTATAAAAACAAAACAAAGAAAAGGGAGATTAACCCAGTATTTAGAAGTGTAATGTGGGGGCTGGAGAGATGCCTCAATGGTTAAGAGTGCTTGCTGCTCTTGCAGAGGACCAGGGTTCATTTCACTATACCCACATGAAGTGACTCACAACTGCCTGAACAGGGGTTCCAATGCCCTCTTCTGGCCTCAGAGGGCACCTGCATGTATACCATGTGATGCATACACAAAACACAGATAAACATATATACACTTAAATTTGCATTTTTATATTTTCATTATTTTTATTACTTTTGCATGAGTGCACATATGCATGCAATGCTTGCAGAGGTCAGAAGAGGGTGTCAGGTCCCCTGGAACTGGAGCTATAGATGGTTGTTAGCTGCAATATGGGTGCTGGGAACCAAACCCCAGTCCTCTCCAAGAGCAACCAATGCTCTTAATAGCTGAGTCATCTCTCCAGCCCCATACACTTAAATTTTTTTTCTTTTTTCTTTTTTTGGTCTTTTTGAGACAGGGTCTCCCTGTAGCCCCAGCTGACCTGGAACTCACTAAATAGACCAGGCTGGCCTTGAACTCACAGAGATCTGTCTGCCTCTGCCTCCCAAGTGGTGGGATTAAAGGTGTGCACCACGATGCCCAGCTTTAAATGTTTTTTTTTAATTAGAAGTGTAACCTGGACTCTTGAACCCCACACCATCATCTACTGGCTGTGTGAATTTTGGAACGTTATTTAATCTCTATATATACACTTTGTAAGCTTAGACACAGAATCAAATTCAAACATGTAAGCAGATGCAAGTGCTTGAGAAATGTTCCCTTCACCATCACTTTACCTGAGCTTCTAAACCTCCTAACTTCATAACAGCATCAGGGTGAAACAGTATGACAGGTTTCAAGATGAGGATCTCCCCAGACATTATTCAAAAATGATCACCTTGAACCAGGTGTGGTGGCACTGGCCTTTAATCCCAGAACTCTGGGGGCAGAGGCAGGCAGATCTCTGGGAGTTCAAGACCAGCCTGATCTACATAGTGAGTTCCAGGCCAGCTGGGATTTTTTTGTCAAAAAGACAAAAAAAAAAAAAAAAAAAAAAATTCATCTCAACTCACTGAATTTCCTTTGATGCAGGAGCTATTGGTATGGTTCCGGCTTTACAGATGACAAAGCTCAGGCCCAGAAATTAAAGTAACTTGTTCCAGGTCACACAGTAAGAAAGGGTGAAAAATGAGGCTGGCCTGCAGGAACGGAAACTAGTAACAGAATTGTAAAAATTCAGGTAGAAGCCAAGCATGGTGGCACACACCTTTAGTCCCAGCACTTGGTAGGCAGAGGCAGGTGGATCTTTGTGAGTTCAAGGCCAGCCTGGTCTACATAGTGCGTTCCAGGACAGCTGGGGCTGCAGGGAGACCCTGTCTCAAAAAG